CCTCCCTCCCTTCCTTCTTTCTTTCCTTCCTTCCTTCCTTCCTTCCTTCCTTCCTTCCTGCCTGCCTGCCTGCCTGCCTGCCTGCCTGCCTGCCTGCCTTCCTTCCTGCCTGCCTTCCTTCCTTTCTTCCTTCCTTCTTTCCCTCCTTCCTGATAAGATTTTGCTATGCAGCTCAGGTTGACTTGGAACTCACAATGTAATCCTCCTGCCTCAGCCTTCCAAGTGCTGGGATCCTAGCCGTGCACCATCCTATTCAGTGTTAGAATCCATTCATATCTCAATCATCAGATGGTGCCCCTGTCCAGGAGGGGCTGGAACCCTAGATCTTTCCTCCTGCAGCTCTGCCTCCTCCTCTGAGTACTCCAGACCCCTTCTGTCTGACCTGCACCCTCCAAGGGAGAGCCAAGAATCACCTCTCTCCAGGCCTTCATGATACCAGCTCCAAGTTTATTGGGAAGACGTATTTAAAAGCCCACCTAGATGCAAAGGAAGCTGGGAAATGTAGTTTCTGACTGGTTCCCATGCTTAGTACCATTGACATTGGGAACCAGATATTCTGTGGTGAGGCTACCCTGAACACTACAAGGCATTTGAGATCATCTCTGTGGTTAACTGGGGATAAGCATCTCATGGAATTTCCCACAAACTAAGTTTCTGGGGTGCAAAATTTCCCCCTGCTTAGGGAATCAGCTCTGCTGATGATCAGGAAACAATCTAACAGACATGGACCCTTCACTGTGTCCTTAAAATATTGAGATAGATTATTGCTTCTCAGCTTTTGGGCTATGATCAAGTGAAACCCTGGAATATTTTGTGGATTCTTTTTGAAAGATGCAGCTAGCAGGGGCCTCTCATATTTCTGCAGGAGAGTGGTCAATCAGAATTGAAGACAGCGGCCCGGCATGAGGGTGGAACTCCCCTGTTTGTCTCAGTCCCTGGCTTTCCTGATATTCCATTATGAGCTCCTTCAACTCTGCCTGGGGGAAGGGGGGTGGGGAAGAGGCTAACCCCATGGCCTGGGCCATCCCTGAGTGTGTCTGGCATGGGAAAGAGCAGGAACTCCGTGCTGAAGCTCCTGTCTCATGACAGAGCCCTCCAGAGTCCACCCGGTGTGTGGGAGAGGTGAAGAGCTGTGGGGGCAGGAAGGGAGCAAGACAAGAAGGCACAGAGAGACAGGGCCAAGAAGACAGTGCCCAAGCTGGGAGCTGAGGGGAAGGAGGCTTAGGACACGAAGGGCAGAAGGGAATTCAGAAGAAAGCCTGGGGGAGAGATGAGCTGGCAGACAGGGGCGGGAGAACTTCAGAGGCCATTCTAGAAAGTTAGAAGGAGCCAAGCACCTGTGGCTCACACCTGTAATCCTAGTGACTCAGGAGGCTGAGACCTGAGGACTGTGGCTCAAAGCCAGCCCAGGCAGGAAAGTCCATGAGACTCTTATCTCCAATTAGCCACCCCAAAGCTGGAATTGGAGCTACTGCTCCAGTGGTAAGCTAGCCTTGGGCAAAAAGAGCTAAGGGACAGTGTCCAGGCCATGGGGCCTGAACTCTGGGCCTGGGCGCTGTCCCTCACCTCTTCAGCTGAAGGCTAGCGCTCTACCACTTGAGCCACAGTGCCACTTCTGGCTTTTTTTTTCTTTTTGCTTATGTGGTACTGAGGAATTGAACCCAGGGCCACAGGCATGCAAGGCAAGCGCTCTACCACTGAGCCACCTTCCCAGCCCTTTTTTTTTTTTTAAAGGAAGCCAAGGTAGGAACTTCCTGAATAGAGTCCCAGGGACAGAATAAATTGGAGAGAGACTTGACAAATGGGACTACCTTAAAATAAAAAGTTTCTGCACAGCTAAAGAAATAGCAACCAAACTAGAAAGACAACCAAATAACTGGGAAAAAATATTTACCAGCAATGGGCTGGGAAGGTGGCTCAGTGGTAGAGCACTCGCCTTGCATGTTCGAGGCCCTGGGTTCGATTCCTCAGCACCACATAAGAAAAAAGCCGGAAGTGGCACTGTGGCTCAAGTGGTAGAGTGCTCGCCTTGAGCTGAAGAGCAGAGGGACAGCGCCCAGGCCCACAGTTCAGGCCCCACGACTGGACCCCCCAAAAAAAAAGAAAAGAGAAAAATATTTACTAGCAATATATCAGATAAGGGGCTAATATCCAGTATACACAGGGAACTCAAGAAACTAATCCCTCCCAAACCTAGCAAACCAATTACTAAATGGGCAAGGGAACTAAAGGAAGGCTTCTCAGAAGAAGAGATAAAAATGGCAAAGAAACACATGAGGAAATGTT